GGATCCTAACGATTCTCTTCAATTCTGTATTTGATTCTCAAGTTTATATTAAATTTAATAGGTGGGGTATATCCCACCATCATTTTTAATAGTGTTTTGAACCTCATGTGATTCTGTTTGATTCTATTCGATTCCAATTTTCGGAACCATAATAATAACTAGCATTATTAATTAAAAGAAGAATTTTTTTATCAAGTATTACTATTTGTTTATCAAGAGTTTTAAGCCATTCTATAAAAATTTTACTAGTCATCCATATACTAGCATTTGATTAATAAGTTATAGAAAGAGTACTTATATTTATGGATTGAGTACCATTGGTTTGACAACTTTACCAATAACAAATGATTTGATTTTATATGAATTTGTTGAATTACATGTCAAAAAAACAGTAATTCATTTCTTATTTCATTTTGTTTCAAATGTTTTTGTTATAGCAAGAGTATAGTTTGGTAGCATATAATAGAATATACTTGTTTCATTAGCATAATATATGTTGTCTGGATCATATTACATAATAATATTTTGTAATTTGATTCATACTTCTGAAATACCAATTGATGGTATACTGTTGGATTCTTTATGCAAAATATAAGATTTAATTCCATGCTTTTTTTTAAGATTCCAGCCATTCTTCACTTGCTTTAAGATCCATTTCATTATTAAAATTGGAAAAAAACATTAAGCCTTGTTTTAAAGTATTGCATTACTAAGAATTTGATTATTTTCTAATGCTTTAATTAACCAAAGACTTATTGCTTCATTTGTTTTTGGATATTTTTCATTGTGAATTTTCATTTTTTGTCCAATAATATTGTTAGAAATATCTTGACTTATTCATTTTTCTTTATTTGCTAATATTTTACTAATTGTAGAATGATCATTTTCTATATTAAAAATAGTAGCTAATTCTTTATGCTTAATTCTAGGATGTTCATTATAATATTGACAAATTAACTCAATAGATAAAGCATGTCTTTTAATTTCTTTAGACATTGAAAATATATCATAAAAAAAATTATAATTTTTATTTTTATATGATTTTTTATATTTTCTCACACTTAATTAATGCTAAACATATATGGTTAAATTTTTTAAATTTTTTTTATAGTCACCTCGATCTATAATCACCAAAATTTGCTTATCCAAATGAGGTGACTATAGACAGGGTTGACTGTATTAACAATGACCAAACAGTCATGACTTTTGTTTTGGGCAGTCGTTCGCTTAATGTCTAACTATGACTAGATTAATATTATTCATTATATGCTGTAAATTCATTCAATAATGCCTCGTGCAAGCTGCGCACTGGGCTTTTACTTTCTGGGCGTCGCCCCCACTGCTGATGATTATGACATTGGTCCCATCTGTTCACAATATTACTTGCATTGCCTTCATTATCATTTGACGCAACCAAATGCTCGAATTGGGCACGACATGGCCTTATTAAGAATTTTGTCAATGTCTTTAGTTAATTATAAATTTAATAATATAACATTGGGCACTTCTTGGATTTAGAACAAATTGTGTATCAGGCGTTTGCGTATTAACAAATGTAACATTCAAGAAAGGAGTATCATGTCGATATGATCTTTGAATTCTGAAACGATTGATAGAATTTACGCCATTCCTAA